AAAGGTCAAAGGTCAGCTTGACTGTGACATCATCATGTTTTAACGTCATATCTCAGGAACAGAAGGGGAGACATTTGGTCAGATACTGAATTGGTGACTCTAATCTTGAAACTGTGCTGATTGTATAGATCTTCTGTGTGTGAAGCGTCCATGTTTTCACTGACATGGATGGAGACTGTCAGAGACACTGGACTGGTGGGCGGAGTCATACAACCACAGGGTGGACTTGTGGGCGGAGTCATACAACCACAGGGTGGTAATTCTAGTTTCATCTTTAAAAACCAGAAGCAATAACCAGTTAAAGCTCAGCGACCGGTGTGTTCATCAAATCAGCTGCAGGATTGGTTTTGAGTCTTCTGCTCAGTCAGACTTTAAACACAGCTCTCTCCGTCAGGTGGCCACGGGTTCAAATCGGACACGTCCCCGATGAGGCGTGAGGAGGAGGAAGATGACCTGCTGGAGGAAGAAGAGGAGGAAGAGGTGGGCGTGGCCAGGCCGGTGCAGATCGTGGTGGCGGATGAGGAGGAGCACTCGTTCTCTCTGCAGGAGGAGGCTCTGGAGCGACTGCTGCTTCAGGAGGAGGTGCAGGACCTCCACGTGGTCGTCGTCTCGGTGGCCGGAGCTTTCCGCAAGGGCAAGTCCTTCCTGCTGGACTTCATGCTGCGCTTCATGTACAAACAGGTACCCTGTCGACTGAAGTCATGTGACACATGTCTCTGCTAATGTGCATGCAGCTCTGACTTTGAGACTTTCTAAACCATAGGAATTATGTCGTGAGCGAGTCTTCATATCCACCCCTGGCTGTTCATATACATACAGTCTGTACTTTACTGCTCTTTGCTCTTCTGGTTAGATGCTGATTTCATCCTCTGTACTCTGCAATCACAAAGGTTAATCTTAAATGTCATGAGTCAGACTCTCAACCACTGAGTTATGATCATTTCAGTTCTGCCATAAGGTTCATTCTTGACTTTGCACAAACAACCCAAACTCTCTTTTCTGCAGCTTTTACCTGTATGGCACATCATCTTCGTTAGCGGATGGAAATGTTGACGGGGAAACTCAGTGACTGTTAGAAAGTGTCTCCTAAATAAATTCAGTTTGTTTTTAAGTCCAACTTTCCTTGGAGAGGACCTGCTCTGCTCATATTCAGGTTCATACTTGTATTTAAGGTTTCTACTGGAGCATGTTTACACACTTAATGTTCAAAGAGACACCTGATTTTTCTCATCCTGTCTGTGCTGGAACACAGTCTGTGTTCACCCTCTGCCTCAAACACTCTGTTTCAGCACAAATAATGTTGTGTTAAGCAGGGACTCTTAATTAGCCTGATTGGGTTGAGGCTTGTAGGCTTCATCAGGAGGAGAGCGAGTTAACCTGTAAGCAGTCGGCCAAAACTAAATGACAGAAGTTACATTGAGTTACTGTATAACAAATATTATTATATTATATATATTATTATATACAGTATAAAGGCTTTTGAAGCAGTTACTAAAAACTATGTCTGACTGAATTTGTGCTCGTTCAAAGGAAAAAAGATCATTCATTATTAAAAATTATTTTTTTTAACAATGATTTCTTTTTTCCTTCGCATAAAAGGGGGAATAAATAACAACAAAATAAACAACAAAAAAACACCTGTGTCAGTATCGGCCCAAAGTTTCACAGTCGGTACATCCCTTGTATAAATACAAACACTAGCTAAATGGACCTGCGTCATGTGTGACGTAGTTGAACAGAACACTTGTTAGATTTATCAGGGGCAGATGTCCTGCTCACTAAAACCAACAGAAGCTAAAAGAAACTACCTCGTGACCGTTTTTCTTTTAGTTGTAAAATCAGTTTATAATCTTCATATCTAAGCCCTGTCTTTAACTGAACAAACAGCTGCTGCAACAGCTGGAAAAAGCAAAAACCAGTCATGTTTTTACAGCTACAGTGTGCTAGAAGTTACTGAAATACAATGTTGGCCCTGGCTCTGCACCCTGAACTGAGGTCGCCCTTACGTCACTTTTGTAGCAATAAGATCACGTTAATTCTCAGCTGAGTTTTCACTTTTATCCAGTTCAGACCAAAGATTTGCAACGAAATTAGTTGAAACAAACAACTACTGTCAACGCTCTGTTCTTCAATGCTGTAAGCACATACAGCCAGCAGCAGCAGTGACCCACCGTCCGACACCGGCACACCGTGAGGACAGAAACAGAGGGCTCGGTGGGGACGGAGCACCTGCTGCAGCAAGCCAACACGCCGTCTGTGGTCATTTTGACTTGACCAGCGGACTTCACTACAAGCTGAACCAGCCGCCGGCCATTTGACCAGCTGAGTGTCAGGTGACACCATCAGCTGGCTTGAGTCGAGCTCAGACCGGCCAGTTCACACCGCTGACACTTTTCTCTGTGACGATCTAAAATGGTTTTGTCTCGTCATGAATCTTTGGTCTGAACTGGACTTTAAGGGGAAATTGACTGGAAATCCACATTTTAAAACCCCCAGACCTCCTAAACCGTTCACATCTTTGTCACCTTTTCACCCCTGATGAGTTTGCACCTCTGGGTAAAAGAAATGCAGCACACTATGACGTCATACTGTAGCCAGAGTTGAAACAACAGTTTGAGTATTCAGAACTGAAGCCTGAGGCTTTACTCACAGGGAATGTTGATCTATATGTTTACGTCACTATTTGAAACTTCGTACATGTTTAATATGAACATCCTTCACTGAAACGTTACATATGAGACAGAAAAACATAGAAGGCCCCCTTTAATCCAACACTGAACACTGCAAGAGGTGTCACTGGCTGTGACCCTTAACACGGAGGACAAAGTCCACCGTCCTCGCTCTGACGCTAAACCACCAGTGACTTGTTTCAACACACACGTGTGGGCATGAAAAGAAAGTGAACCTGTTCTTCTACTGTTGAGTGTGACAAAAGAGTTGTAAAAGTACAGTGGCTGAAATCACAACAGTTCTATCTCCATGGCAACTGAGCAGACTCGTTCTGTGGATGAGGATCATGTGATACAGTTAAAATCCCTCAAATATTTTAATCATATTTGTTCAGTGTGTTCTGTGAGCATCAGATGGTATAAGAGCACAGTTGAAATGGTCTGTGGAGTCTCCAGCGGTTCAGGAACTGTAAAAACGTTTAGCCTGACCGCTGGGTGTTTTACGGTCAGTGTGTAGTTATTTGTCCAGAGAGGATTTAATGGATTTCAGTCGAAGTCTGTCAGCGCAAAATGAAATCTTCACCTGAAACCATAAAAACACTGAGTGACAGTTGACGTCCTGTCGTTGGGACTATTTTAAATAAGCGAACCCAGTTTACTGTGAGTTTAGAAGAAACCGTGAGTGTGTGTGTGTGTTGGTCTGTGACTCGACCTTTGGCCGTGTTAATCTACGGTAAGCACTGAGGAACATTCTGGAGAGTTTCATGACGCTTGAAAGAGGATTTTAGGCCGTCACAATGGCGGCTCTGTGGCTGGGCCTCCGCAGAGCTCACTGCTGCTTATTCCTCACATAAAGGCCATCTTTATGTGAGGAATAAGCCCCGCCCACACAGGTCAGGTCATGGTAGGGCTGCTTTTTAACACATCTCCTGCACAGGTCGCAAACAGAGCCTGGAGAATGAGATTTTAAATGAGGTGCTAAAGGTCACTGAGTCAGGTGTGTGTCGGACTAAATGGAAAGGCTTCTTGTGTGTCGCGTCATGTTGCATTTGTTTCTTAAAGATTAACCAGTTAGTGACCCAGATTCTTCCCCCATTTGTAGCGCCCCCTATGGATGACAGCATCCTTAACATTCACCTGTGACATGGGCCAGCACTGATTGAGACAAGCTGCCAGTCTGGTTCCATAAGCAGTCAGTGTCAACAAGAAAGTAGAACAAAACAGATTTGTGTATCAGACACATTTCCATTGTTGACAGTTTTTTTTTTTTTTTTTTTTTTTTAAAAAGATCCAAAACGATGGAGAAATACTGTAACACAAAACTCTCATGTTGTATGTTTGCCTAGAGAGTTGTTGGTGGCTATAATCATTCCTCCTGTCGAAGACTACGCCAAGCAGATCCATCGTCCCACCCGCGGTTTTTCCTTTTTAAATAGCTTCTTTTCCACCAACATTTCCAGTAACTTTTGTTTCCAGGAATTTATTTACCTGGATAAAAGAATTCCTGGTAATCTGTGTGGTTTGTGTTTCCACCGCACCGCAAAGTTCAGGAAAATGTATTCAGAGGAGGCTGATGACATAAGGGGGAGTGGTAAAGGAAACTGCACTTTACCTCCAGTCCAGAGGTTGTTTCGGCATGTGCCCTATATTTAGCTCCGCCAACTTGTTGGCTATTCTTCCATAGACTTGGTCGTTTCAAGTCGCTGACTCGAAGTCCCGCTGAATTTCTTCCTTGGCAGATACTCTCAGAAGAGCCTGGACCTCGTCGTCTGTCCACTTCTCGTAGCTTCTCTTCTTTTGCTCCATTTTCCAAATAATCAAAACAGAAAGTGAAGCCTGTAGAAATGTAATAAAGTTTGCAGTCACACTGCCCAGGAAGTGTTAAACACTGCAAGGGTGTGTTCCACCAATCAGTGTTCCTCAGCACACAGCCCCGCCCCCCAAGAATTCCGGGGAATCTGAAAAGTCCTACCCCCCTACTAGTTACTATTTTCAGGGAAAGTTTGGGGTTGAGGGAAAGTTTTTACCCCGGGTAATTTTGGTGGAAACACGCCAAGGTTTTTCAAAATCCCCTGTAAATGATAAAAGTTCCTGCAGTGGAAAAGGGGTTCATGTTATTGTCCCTCACACTGGCTGCTAACCAGGGCCTTTGGTGTGTCACACACTTATAAGTCCCACGAGCAAATCGGCGACAAATAGGTTCCCCTTGAAGGTTTTTTAAATTAAATAAAATTACATTTTTGTAAGCAAGACTTTGCCTCTGTATTAGAAAACGTGTGCGCACAACATACCGATACAGCCAATTAAAATTAATTCGTACCAGCTATGGACGTCATGCAGAAACTTTCCACCATAAGACTCTGAGACAACATCATCTTCTCTCTTCTGCTGACAGTGTTGAATTTGCAGCTCAGCTCACAGATAGTTAATACGACACAGTCTCTGGTTTTTGTTTGATATCTAGTGTCAGTGTCTAGTGTCAAAATATTGTTGCACATTTACGATCTGTCGTCAGCGCAGTGAGCTTGTTTTTTTGTTTACTATATTACAGGAATGCTGCTGTCACACTGAACATCCCGCTGAGCCTTGTTTAAACTTTAAAACTTATAAAAAAAAACCAAACAAACCGAAAACAAATCATCGATTATTCGTTTTGAACAGGCAAATCTGATCGGACTAACTTAACTCTGAGTCGGGTACAGCCCTACAAACCAAAGGCTGCCTAAAGGGAACAAGTCAAAATAAAAATTCCTACTGTTAGGTGGATCTGTTCTGTACACACGACTTCTGTTGCACGTCTGTCCGTTCTGGAAGAGGGACCCCTCCTCAGTTGCTCCTCTTTTCCCTGTTAAAGGATTTTTTTGGAGTTTTTGCTGATCCACTGAGGGTCTGAGGACAGAGGGATGACGTATGCTGTAAAGACTCTGAGGCAATTTGTGATTTATGATACAGGGCTTTATAAATAAAATTGAACTGATTTATGGTCTGTGAAAAGACAGCATTTATATAAACACCAACCTTTTAACAAATGGAGAGAAAGACGGTCTGTGGTCTTAAACAGATTGATTGCTGTTGTATGTCCGACCACCTCCTCCTGTCCCTCAGTGAATATTCATCACATGAATTTAATAACATGCTTTTATTTAATCCTGAGTGTGAGGCCACAGTCTGTATTTAATATTACACTGGACTAGCGACCGTGTGACGACCCCTCCGCTCTCCTCTGGTCTCTGTCCAGTCGGACTCTTGGGTGGGCGGCGAGGAGGAACCTCTGACCGGCTTCACCTGGCGAGGCGGTTGCGAGAGGGAGACCACGGGCATCCTGGCCTGGAGCGAGGTGTTCGTGGTGGAGAAACCAGACGGCTGCAAGGTCAGTTCACAGGCCGACGCCCAGTCAGCGTCTTCTTTTAAATCCTCCTTTAAAAACATGTTTCAGGACGTGTCGTGTGTTCACAGTAATGCTACGAATGACACTGAAGTTAAAGAGCTGTGTTGTCGTTCCTGCAGGTTGCAGTTCTTTTAATCGACACACAGGGGGCGTTTGACAGCCAGTCCACCATCAAAGACTGTGCCACGCTGTTCGCCCTGAGCACCATGACCAGCTCCGTTCAGGTCAGCGGTATTTCACAACTCCAGCCGTGTTGTTCAGTGTCAGACATCACAATCTGAGTCCTGTGTGTGTTTGTGTTAAAGGTCTTGATGTGACGGCACTAGGTGACTAACAGGTTGAGTTGTTGGTTTGCTGTGTGCGTTTCAGGTGTACAACCTGTCCCAGAATGTCCAGGAAGACGACCTCCAGCACCTCCAGGTCAGTAACAGCCTGCGGTCAGTTTTACAAACAGCTCCCAGCCCATTCTGCCTTCTCTCCAACCAACCGATACGGGGTAAAAAAAAATCTGCACGCTACCTGGACTAACTAAATCAGCCACAGGTCACTGAGTACACTTACCGGGTACAGTTGTGTGTGTCCACTATGCGTGAGGTGAGTCATAAATACTTTGATTTGCAAAACGTGCATCGGTGCTTTTACTCCAAGTGAAAACAACCCAGAGCACTTTGTCAAGAGGGCAGCAGAAAACACCGCCCTGTTTCCTTTTTGTCCTCAAACATGATTTATAGCAAGATTATCAACACGCTCATTATATAAACTTTAACTGTTCTTTGTACGACTTCAAATGACGAATGGAATTGGAAGTTGTTGCATCTTCGTCTGTAGTCTTCAACCCGCACTTTTTTCAAACTGCAGCATGTGAAAGTGGAAGGGATGGGTACATTAGTGAAGTCAGTGTCACTGGTGCATGCTGCTGTAAAGGCCCTGACACACCAAGCTGACGGTCGGCCGTCGACCAAAGTCAGTCCGTCGGTGAGCGTCTGTCGCCCTAGTTTTTGCGGTGTGTCCC